ACCTTAGCTTCCATAACCTCCTTTTTATTAACTCAAGCATTTCTTTCTACTGATTTTAGTTCTTAGACAAAGCTTAGCTCTTTCAACAAAATGCCAATCAGAAAATCCTTGAATTCACCTATTACCTGTAAGCCTCCTCTTTGAAATAGTCCACCTCTATGGGCCAACCAATGTATACCTTACAGAGAGGGGTCTTGGATCTTGCGCAAGAAAGAAATTGGTGTGAGTCTGTACAGTAAATTGAAAGCAAAGCAATAGAGAAAATCTACATCATAGGCAGAGCAGAGGGCTGCTGCTTCCCCTTTTTTATGGTTGTTTCTTGATGATATACTGAACAGGGGGGTGGATTATTCATGACTCCCATTTTAAACCATATAGGGCAACTTCCTGATGTTGCCACGGCATTAGTAAACTGTCATGGAAGCAGTGAGAGTGTAGCGGTTAAGATGACCAGAGATCACTCTCATTGCCATCTTGGTTTTGATGGGTTTTGGCCAGCTTCTTTACTACGAGCTGTTTTATCAGAAAGGTCTTTATGACCTGTATCATCTCAGGCCAACTTCCTATCTCATCCTGGTAGATTAAGAATGCCTAACCTCCTGGAAATGCAGCCCAGGAGGTCTCACCTTTATTTTACCATGCCGCTATTCAAGATGGAGTCTCTCTGGTTCAAACGCCTCTGGCACACGTATTGATTTATGTGTTTGCCCATAACTTTCGTCTCCATAAAAAGTATAAACCAAGCAGTAATCCAACCACTTCACTTTGTCTGGACCTCCTTAGATTGCTCCCTTGGCCATAGTCTCTCATATTGGTTAAGAATAAATCTCTATTTTATAGAGTTTGGCTTTTTCATCAACAGAGGAATCAGATGAGATAAGGGGGGAATTAAGCTGTATATGGATACATAGACATGAAGGAGAATGAGGAAATCAGAGTAGAAGACAGCAAATGGAGAGTCGAAGACTATAAAAAGATCACTGGAGCGAGAGAGGAGAGGGAGAATGAGGAAGAGAGGGAAAGAAGAGTGAAGCGAAGTAGTTCAGAACCTGAGTGCCTGGTAAGGTCACTCACAGAATAGAGCAGTCCCCCTCAGGGGGTTAGCTCAGGCCCCATGGAGTATTCCGAGCCTGCCTGGGGGAACATGTTGCTGTTAGGTTAGACCAAGAACCAGGCTTATTCCCATCGAGCCTCAGAATAACCTGAATGAAATAAATGTTTCTCCAGCTTAGACACAGGGCCAGGACAGGATCTCTGCATTTTATAGCTCTGGGATGTCCACCTGGGATAATTATGCATAGAAATTGTTTTCCAGAGACTCTAAGCCAGGTCACGGGAAGAGAACTAATCATGGTAGACAGAGTAGGCCAATGCCCCATGGCCGATGTGGTGAGGTCTGCCCTGCTCCGGGTGGATGAAGCTGTGTTGGGGCTCAGGATTATACAGGTGTTAATAACAATGGAGTTCTGAGGTTGGTGCCAAAGTAAAGAGAGAAGACAATTGGGCAGGCCTTCTTTATAATCTAATGATTCGCAGCCAGGGACAAGTATATGTCAGATGTGGTGGTGAGCTAAAGGATGGCCTGCACAGGTGTCAGGTCCTGATCTCTGGAACATGGAATTGTTCCCCGATGTAGGAAAAGGGTCTTTGGCAAAGTGTTTAAGGATTCTGTGGTGGCGTGATAGCTCTGGTTATCCAGGTGTACCTTAAATGGAATCACAAGCACTGCTGTAAGACAGAAGCCAAGGGTGGCTTAACTGGCAGGAAATATGAGACTGAAGGAGTGCAGGGAACTTCACCCCAAAGTAGGGCTCCCTGATGTAATGTGCATTTTGAATTAAAGGCCCTCAGAGGTCAACAAAGGCTGGAGGAGAATTTTCTCTGTCTACCTAGAGATCAGAGGGACTCTCCAAGGAGAATAATTGCCTTTCCTTCCTCTCTCGGTTAGCTCATTACCTATTACAGAAAAGAGGACCAAGAGTGCAACCACGCTTGGACAGACTTTCACAAGGTAATATCTGTCTCTCAATTTTCAAAGAGCATCATTCACAAGTTGTTACAGTGAAACCCAAATTTCTCTTCAAAGAATCAGTATGTCAGTATGTTCAGCTCTCTTATTCTGTAATTCTCTATTTTAAAGTTTAACTTCCTTGTAATTCCAGTAAATGATCTCCTCTACTGGTTCCGACTCATCCCAGTCACCTGATCACCCCTGGCTACCTGCTCTGACATGCCCGTAACCGTCCTTCCCGGCAAAACACCCAGCCTGCCACTCCTGCTCGGACCCCTGCCCCATTTAAATAGCCAGTCGGGATTAGTGTAGCTTGTATGGTCTAATCCTAGCCAATGGGGGATGACACGCAGCAGGGCCGACCCCATCAGGCATAAGTACCACTTCCTCTCTTGTCCAAGTGAGCGGTCCCCATCATTGCTCCATCCGTGCACCGCCCCCTTCTATAGAAGTAAGCTGCCTTGCTGAGAGGACATATCTTTGAGTGCTATTTCTTTTGTGGCATTGAAATTTTACTTATTACAAAGTTAATTCCTGTTCCCCCTCTGTTTTTCTCCTCAGTCATCATTTATCAGCCCACAACTACCTACGTTCCCATCCCCTCTTCCCTTATGAAATAGGGCTATACAAGTATCTGGGCCCCATTGAAATATGGGATGATCACTCTGTGGCTCTCCCACAAGGGCCTATTAATAAATGTGTGTGACTTTTCTCCAGTTAATCTGCCTTTTGTCAGTTGATTTTTTTAGCAAGCCTTCAGAGGGTGAAGGGGGAGTGTTGCCTTGGCTCCTGTGTGACCCCAGAGGCAGAGATTGCAGTGAGGCAGCCACCTGAAGTCAGGAAAGCCAAGGATGGCGGCTCACCAGGAACCTCCGGAAGGAGTGCAGCTCTCCCAAGTACCTGGATGCTAGCCCCGTGAAAGTGCTTTGAACTCAGGCCATCTCCACTGTGTGAATGGTTTTAGACCACCAAGTTGGTGGTAATTTATTACAGCAGTCACAGAAAAAATATAGACACTCACCAGGTCCTGTAACAAGTGCCTCCCATGGATTCCATAATTGTTGCCATGACTGAGATTGTAGCTTCTAGTATCCCCATTATTTAGTTTAAGAAAACACAGGCTAAAAATATGCTGTATTACTTACCCAAGGTATCTAGTACGTGGCCTAGCACGGGACAAATCAAGTGTACAAGTGAGTGTGCGAGTGAAATGGCCTCATAGTCTGGGTGATAACCTGGGTTCTTCGTCTCAACGGCTGAGAAACTAAAGGACACAGACACACAAAGAGTGAGGCTGAGAGTGAAAGTTTTACAGGTAAAAGAAAGAGAAGAGCCCCTGCTGGAGAGAGGGGTCCCAAAGAAATGGGTTGCTGGACCCGCGGTGAAATGTAGGAGGTTTTAGATGCCTGGTGAGCAGGTGGTGTTTGACTTATATCTAATGCAAAAGAGTGGTTGGACCAGGTGTGCCGTTTGCCTAAGGTGTGAATTTTTGACCACCCCCGACCCAGTCATTTATTATGCAGGTGAGTCTTCTGCCTGGGCAGCACCACACTGCCAATCACTTTACCATATACATGGCAACAAGAAAAGCGAAGACGGAGCCTCCATGGTGGACTTGCCTGACCCCCAGGCTGCACTTTTGTATTGGCACAGCTGCTGGCATTTCCTCATGCAAGCTCCCAGCTTGCTTATCTATGCTTGCAACTCATTTTTTCAGGCTGTTATTTGTTAGAAAATAAAAGAAGTTTCTTGGGCCACTTTTTGTTTAAAAGGGAAGCTCTGGCAAGGGCTCTTTTACCCTCACTATCTACCTCAATAGTTTATTTCTACCTCCTGTATCACAAGGGCAACTCTCCCGGTCTCTTTATGTCCCAGTGCCCAGAACAGTGCCCGGCAAATGAGAAGATTCCTGAAAAATATGTGTTCAGTAAATTAGCAAATTAACATAGGGTGCATAATATGGAAAAAAGTGTTTCAGGGCTCCTAAGGGGTATAGGGGCCAAGGGAAACTTCCCCATTGCCCTCTGAAGGTTTGCTGAAAATTAACTGGCAAAAGACAGATTCATTGGAGAAGAGGCATACGCTTAACATGCACGGGGAGGGCGAATCACAGAGTGATTACCCTAACCCCCGATGGGGTACAGAGGCTTATAAACCCTTTTTCACAAATGAGGGAGGAGATGGGGAATGAAGACAATGCTATTTAGCAGCAGCAAATGATTATTAGGAAGAATATGTGTGGAACCCAGAGACAGAAATTATTTTGTAGATAATACTTTTTGGAATTTGAATGAGCCCGAGAGGCAGTCATTATGTTGTGAAAAAGACCTTCCAGGTATGATAGAATTTCTGTCTGAAATGAGATTTCAGGAAGGGACTAGATGGCAATTGTATTTTTTTTTTTTTTTTTTGGTAAGAAGATTTCTTAGATAAGGAAATCTCAGAGAGTCCCTCCCTGCCCCAAGACAGTTTTAGGGGGACCGTGATTCTGAGGCTTATTTATGAAGTCTTTTAATGTTTAAAAGTACTCACCATGCTCAGGTGTCAGATATCAGGGAATCATTTCTACACCCCAAAAGTCCTCTGTCTAAAATGTCCCTAGAAGTTTCACACACTAAAAGCTAAGTTGTTGGGTGTGAAGTTAATATTTGAGTCAATAGCTGAGTAGCAAAAATTATTATTGAACTGCTCTTCTATTTCTAGGAGGGGACCAGTCCAATTAAACAGCTGTGTCTCGTATCAAGAAATGGCATTGCAGATGGGCTCCCAAACAGTAGAAAAACAAAGGTTAATATTTGGAGCAGTCTATAAATGGGTTTCTTGAGAGCCTGGAGAGCAGTCAGTTGAGGTATCCAGCTGTTCAACTAGAGGCATCTTTAGTTAATGTGGACATAGGCAACAATGAGCTGACAGATTTTGTGGTCTGTAGTTTGTATGTCACAAGGTTATTTATGCATAAGCCTCAGCTTGCAAGGCCTCGGTAAAAAAGGTATTATCAATTTCAGTGAGTTTAAAAACAATTGGAGGAAAATTTATCTGAAGACCTGTAACCAGAAAAAAAATAGAATTTAATTTAAATGGTAGGAAAATAATAAAACTGATCAAAAAAAAATGGTTAGGGTTAGAATCTAATATCAAGTGTACTATAGCTTTCTTCTGAAACATAATTTTTCTCTCTCCAGTCCCACATTTAATTTAAGCAAAGATAAATCAAGCAAAGAAAAAAATAAACATGAAGGAAAAATAAATATTGGGAGCCCAAAATCACTAAGCCAAAGGAAAAAGTCAAGCTGGGAACTTTGTTGTGCAAAACTGCTTCCCTGTCTATTTAGTCTATTCCTAAATAAGACAGCTACAAAAACGTTAAAGAGCTGCATGCCTCCCTCACAATTTGTCCACAAAGAAATTCCACAGACAGACATGAGAGCCATGTCCCTGCTCACATGAGACACGTGCATATCTGATTGCTCCCTTTCCTCTGTTGTTCCCTAAGCCAGACTAAGGCATAAGGAACTATTTCTGTACACTCTGGATTCGATGAGAAGCTAACCAGAAACTCAAAAGCATGCAATCATTTGTCTCTTGTCTACCTCTGACCTGGAAGCCCCCTTTTGGCTTTAAGTTGTCCCCTTTTTCGGGGCTGAACCAAGATACATCGTACATATATTGATCGATGTTTCATGTCTCCCTAAAATGTGTGAAACCAAGCTGTGCCCGACCACCTTGGGCACGTGCTGTCAAGTTCTCCTGACGCCATGTCACCGGTATGTTCTTAACTATGGCAAAATAAACTTTCTAAATTGATTGAAACTTGTTTCAGATACTTTTTGGTTTACCAATATAAATAATAATTTATTTAAATTTACCAATTTAAATAATAATTTGGACCAATTTATTTACAAAGTAAAGCTTTAGGCTTGTTGTATTTGACCTGATTAGTTGACTAACGTACAGCCAGAATAGTAATTGGTCATGTAAGCCCTTTTTAAATTGACTTCACTGAAACTTTTTTTATAAGGAATTTCAGGTTTAATCTTTAAAAGCCTCTTTAGATTGGAAGCCAAGCCAACAACTCGCCTTCCGATTTTGCCTGTAATATTTGTATGAATTGGGTAACTTCCTCTTTTTTTGAGGTTCTCAAAATATCCTAAAGTTCCTGGGCTTGTCAGAAAGTGATGTTCTTTACTTACTGAAAGGCTATACACCTTGTGATAGGGTTTGGCTCTGCATCCCCACCCAAATCTCATCTTGAATTGAACTTTCATAATCCCCTTATGTTGTGGGGGGAACGCAGCAGGAGATAATGTGGATCATGGGAACAGTTTCCCCCATGGCGTTTTCCTGGTAGGGAATAAGTCTCATGAAATCTGATGATTTTATCAGGGGTATTCGCTTTTGCGTCTTCCCCATTTTTCCCCGGGCGCCACCACGTAAGCAGTGCCTTTCACCTCCTGCCATGATTCTGAGGCCTCCCAGCCATGTGGAACTGTAAGTCCAATGAAACCTCTTTTTTTTCCTAGTAGCAGGTATGTCTTTATCAGCGTTGTGAAAATGAACTCATACACCTTGTAGAAGGACCATGTAGACAACACATTGGGCCAGGCCGTTTCTTCCAAAGGCTTTAACAGCGCCTTAGTTCCTCAGAGCAGCCTGCTCATGTCTAAAAATATGACATCTCAATCAAAGCTTTGATAATGGAACTGTGCTCCCAATTGCTGCATCACAAAGAGAGCAAATTCTTATTTTTATTTATGCAAATACTATATTGACGTAAAATACAAATACCAACAAATAGTTTTCAAACTCTGTAGGGATCAGGTAGAAAGAAAGGTAAATGTTCGCATTTTATTCACAACAATACATTTTACCCAATTTCTGTAAGCTGTAAATAGTTTAAAAGAAAAAAAAAAATTGACTTGATTCTGAAAAGCAAAACATAAAAAGAATCAGCAATAATTCAAATCAAAAGAAGCCATAAAAATCATTTGGTCTTTATCAGTTCAGTCTCATGTAATTAATTTTATTCTCTTGATGTTGGGTTAGTAATCTTTATGAATTCATTCATTTATTTATTAGAGTTTGGTAAGTTTTTACTTAATCCAGTGGTATAATCTCCAAAATTATCAGAAACCTACATTTAAGATTACTTGTTATGGTCTTTTTCATGAATTTTCTTGTAGAAGAAGTAAATTTTTTACTGTAGCCAATTATAAACCACTGTTTGAAATGAATCAAACTAAAATGATATTGTCTGTGAGTGACAAAAGACTTAGAATAACCATGGTTAAAGACATAATTGACATGAAAATTTGATTATTTCTGTGGCATACAAAAATTTATGAATGTCAAGTGATAGTCCCCTCCACTCTTTCAGTGGTTGTTCATAGATCAGCCACTCCCTGGCTCTGAAGGCCAGCCCTTTGCTGGGAAGCGGCAGCATGGGGCGGGATTGAGTGATCCTTTTCTGGAACATGTATTTGTAACGGTGAATGGAATAAGAGACATTACACAAAGAAATGAAGGCAAATGTAAACAGAGCAAGGGTGAAGGTGAGAGCAATGAGTGGATGAGACTATGGGAGACAACAGGGGCAGAAAAGCTCTGCTTCTGGGGCAGAGGATGAACTAAGTTGATAGGTACTAGTAGTAAGTTCTGAAGACTCTAGTTCATAGGTGAAGGACAGCATGTCAAAAATTAAGGTGACTGGGCACCGTGGCTCATGCCTATAATCCCAGCACTTTGGGAGGCTGAGGCGGGTGGATTGCTTGAGATCAGGAGTTTGAGACCAGCATGGCCAACATGGTGAAACCCCGTCTCTACTAAAAATACCAAAATTAGCCAGGCGTGGTGGTACGTGCCTGTAGTCCTGGCTACTCAGGAGGCTGAGGCAGGAGAATTGCTTGAACCTGGGTGGCAGAGGTTATAGTGAGCCGACATGGCACCACTGCAATCCAGCCTGGGTGACAGAGTGAGACTCCATCTCAAAATGAAATAAAATAAAAGTGAACCTAATTTCAAAATTTGACTTTCCCAGTGGAACATACTCACATCACCAATTTCTCCTCATTTTTCCTTTTCCTTCTCAAAATTCCCCTGTCATACAACATACTATAATGGAATAGTCATTAGTATCAGTTCTAAAATCTGACCCCCTGAAATTACTCCCTGGTTATTTCATTATTATATGCGTAACCTGAGGCCGTTTGCTTAAATTCTCCAATCTGTTTTTTTTTTTCAATTATAATTGTTTCTTCCTATTGTTGTTAGGATAATTTGAAATAATGCACATGCAGATTTAGAGCCTCCTAGGCCTATAGAACTCACTAGACGACTGGCTATGACTGTTACTATGATTATAATTATCTATAATCACTGGGTTCTCCCCAGGCTCTTCTGGGTTTTCCAATGAACAGGAAGATGTGAAAATTGTGAGGACTTACCTCAAGCCAGCAGGTCCTGTGTGGTTTTGAAGACTGCTGCTGAACCCGTTACTTTGTCGCTAATTCTAATTCCAGATACTGTTATTTTCTTCTGTGCACAAAACCACCCAACTCCTGTGGGATCATAGCAAGGCAAATATGAGAATAACAATGCTTAAAACTTCTCTGTAGCCAAGATAGATCTTTTTCTTTTTCTAAATATTCCCTGAGCTCAGAATGAAGGCTTCAGGAAATTTCTCAGTCTTTTACTTATATTATTTTACTAACAAGCTTGTGAATTAAGTAGAACAAATAAATTATTTTTCTATGAGGAAACCAATGCACAGAGAACCTACATGTATTGAAAGAATTTAATTTCCTCATTTGTTTAAAGGACGTAAAATCACCTAGACATGAATTCCATGTCTCCCCTCTCTGAACATTCAAGGTCCTAGAGCAGCAAGTTTTATCTCACTGATGCAGTGAAATTATCTTGAAAGCACTGTGTTTTCTGTAGAAGAGGGCAGGAATTCCACACAGGGATTCAAAAGGGCAATCTCCTTTTGAAATTCAAAGGAGCTTTTTTTCTCAACCTTGAGGCAAGGCCAGGGAGCACATTCCTGATATCTGGGCTGAAGCTAAAGCCCAGCAGGGGAAGCTGTGACAGAGGAGGGACTCAACGATGCCTTCCCTCCAGCTCTCAGAGCCCTGGCAGGGCCCTGGCCTGCTCAGCCCCCAAGCTTTCTGAGGGTAAAGAGTACAGGGGCTCAGGCCAAAGGTGCCTCTGCAGGACCAGCCCCCTCTCCAGGTAGAGGCAGCAGTGCAGCCTGGAAGCTGGTGAATCCTCCTAACAATGTGCTCAGACAGGCAGACACTTTAATAAGGCTGCCCAGATTTGTGGCTGATACCATGGCAGAGGAAGAGAGAATGATTAGCGGCCCCTGTCACAGGGAGAAATCATGCACATGGCCAGAGGGGCAGCTGGTCCAACTAGACCATAAGCCTGTCACGGGGATTAGTGGCTCCTTGGGGATGGCATGTGATTGGCAGCTCCTGGGAGGAGAGCAGACGGAAGCAGGGAGAGGTCGTGCACAGCTGCCGAGAAAAGAACATCCAGGCACCGCCGGGACTCTGCAGCGGGCTCCACTGTGCTCACAGCACTCCCCTCAGGGAGGGTAGGCTGGTTGACCTGTCAAGAGAGTGGCTTTAGCTTTTGCGGTTTCTAGGGAGAGAAAATCCTCCACTATTTACAGAATCTGTTAATCTGCTCAAACAGGTGACATTTGCTATTAGGGGTGGATAATAAGGGTGGATTCTCAGTCTCAGTAATGACTCTCCAGGAGGAAATTCCCCTACTTCTCCGGGGAATCTATTCTAGTAATACTGGAAAGTCTGAAGGTCTTGTCAAGTCTCTCCCAGAAAGTGGGACTGTATGTAAATAGATGGAGGACAACCGTCCTGATCCTGAGCACTTCACTCAGTTGAGAAAAAGTAGGAATGCATGGGAAACCTGGGAATTGCAAAAGAGGAAACCTGAGACTGTGAGGAGGGGTGGGATAGTCACACGTGAGGAAGGCATTCCCTGGCTCAAGCCGCAGCTCCACCACTGCATAACCTTGGACAATTATGTAGCACCTTAGTGTCTTAGTTTCCTCATCTTTAAATCAGAAATAATATGCTTGTAGTTGTGAAGATGTAATGACAGTGGACTGGAGAGCAGTGCCTAATGCATGCTCAACAATGTCTAACTATTTAATGGGAGAAAGATGATGCCTGTGTATTTTAGCATAGAAGAATAAGGTAAAAAAATTCACAAATGTAGCTCCATACCCCAACCCACTTAAGATGCTGAAATACAAAGAGTTTCTCTCTAATGGTTTTATTTTCTAGTACGGTGTGACCTCAGTTCATCTGATGATTCTGGGGATGTGATGGGGATACAAAGGGACAATAAAAGAGAAGAATGCATGACATAGATATTTAGGGAAGTGGGAACGTGAACGTATTTGAGAAACACATGGGATGGCTAAGCAGTGTTGGAGTAGAAACCATGAATGTATGATGATACCAAAAGTATAGGCAGACAGAAAGGCACGGGTGGTCTCCTTTAAGGTTGGTGTTTGGCAAAATAACTACCATGGAGTAAGAATGGGGCAAAGAAGTTAAATTTACATGTAAGAACCACAGATTTAAATTACTTAGTGAAGAAAATGAACTTCCAATAAGACTGGATGGATGGATAAATGGATGGATGGATGGACAAACAGATGGATGAATGAATGAATGGATGGATAGATGGATAGACAAATGGATGGATGGATGGATGGATGGATGGCTAGATGGATGAATAGATGAACAGATGGAAAGATGAATGGATGAACAGATGGAAGAATGAATGTATGAATGGTTGAATGGATAGACAGATGGATAGATGGATGAACACACATGAATAGTCATGAGCAATACACGGCAGTTCCTGATGATTCTGCAGCCAGGCTAATTGAGTTTGTGGGCTAGAAGGAAAGGCAATGGTTAGAGTGGGCTCCCTGAATTCATGTTTGAGATGCAACAGATGATAAAGATAGGACAGAACCATGGGTCTGGGTATAGA